CGATAGCGCGGGACATATCTATGGGTTTTTTTTTAACATAGATTTCAGCGCAGCAGTTACTAAAAAGAGAGGTACTCATGGAAAGAATAAGGCACATGCAAGGGTGTGGGTATGGACTTTGTGCTTAAGAGTCAAATGTGAGATTTTGGAGGCTTTTTGGCATGATATCGCTTAACATGTTTCTAAGGGATTCCCCCCTCCTCTATCTCTTTTCCCCTTTTCAATAACTGAGACACTAGAGTGACTACAGAGGTGCACTGGATAGAATTCAAACCAGAAAAGACAAACCAGGGGCCATAAGGCTTATATAAGGGGGTTAAATCATGACTTTCACTGTAAATGGGGTTTCTTGTGAGATTCCTAGCAAACTACAGGCTTATCGCCTGGGAAAGGTGAAAGACCATATACACATGGGCCTTAAGCATGGTTCATTCCTCGTTTAATATTCTTATTTGAAAATACGTATGGAAGAAATATTACCTCTATTCACAGCAAATGCTACTTGAGCCGGGATTCTTTTTTTTTTTTTTGGTCTTTTTGAGACAGGGCCTCCCTGTAGCCCCAGCTGATCTGGAACGCATTATGTAGACCAGGCTGGCCTTGAACTCACAGAGATCCACCTGCCTCTACCTCCCAAGTGCTGGAACCAAAGGCGTGCACCACCATGCCTGGCCAGAGCTGGAATTCTTGACTCTCAGCTAGCCAGAGGCTTCAACTCTGGAGTGAGGGCTTCCTTTTCTTTTCCATTCCCTGACAATTTTCTTTCTTTTCCTGTAAATTATTTTGCATTAACATTTTAAAAAATATTTATTATTTTTATTTTATGTGTATGAGTGTATTGCCTGCACTTATGCAAGTGTACCTGTGTAGTGGTAATACCTGTGGAGGTCAGAACAGGGCATTAGTTCCCCTGGAACTGGAGTTAGGAACAGTTGTTAGCTGCTACGTGGGTGCTGGGAACTGAACCCAGGTCCTTTGCAAGAGCAGCCAGTACTCTTGACCACTGAGTCATCTCCCCAGCCTGCATTAATATTTATATACAGTGTTTGTGTGGTCATATTTCCATTTTCTTTGAGTACATACTTAAGACTAGAGTTTCTGGGTCATATATTAACTCTATTTTTCATCTTCTGGGGAACCAAAGGGCCATTTTCCAAAATGGACACAATATTTTAAAATCTACCAGCTATGAATGAGGGTTCCTTGATTTCTCCACATGCCAATAATTTTCCCTTTTTAAGGCAGGGCCACACTGTAGCTCTGGATAGCCTAGAACACATTGTATAGTCCACTGGCCTTGAAATCACTGCAACCCTTCTGTCTAAACCTCTTGAGTGCTGGGATGTCAGCTCTCATCCTCCATGCCAGGCTTCATTGTGCTTTTGATTTATGTTTCCCTAGTGCCCAATGAGCCAAGGACTTTTAAAAAATATTTTATCTATTAATTTTATGTGTATGAGTGTATTGCCTGCATGTATGTAAGTGCACCCATGTTGTGCAATGACACGGAGGTCAGAGAGGGCTTCAGATTCCCCTGGAACTAGAGTTAAGGATGGTTCATAGCCACCATGTGGGTGCTGGGACTCGAACCTGGGTCTGCTGCAAGAGCAGTCAGTGCTCTTAACAGCTGAGCCATCTTTCCAGCCCCTATTATTTTTCTTTTATTATGACTTTGTGTGCATACATTATATGTGTATGATGGGAGGGGGGCATGCATGCCACACTGTACATATGGAGGTCAGAGGATAACTTTGTGGAGTTGATTCTCTCCAGCCACCTTTACATGGGTTCCAGGAATTGAACTCAGGTCACCAGGCTTGTGTCGTAGGCACCTTTACCTGTTGAGCCATCTTACTAGCCCATTATTTATTATTTTAAAGATAAAGCCACAAAATTAAGTTTTTAAAATACTCTCTGTGTCTGTGCATATCCCATTCTACTGCCCTCAGCAGCCCAAAGAACTCACTTTCAGAGACCTCCATGTAGGCAAAACCAGATCCTTGACATCATCTCAGAAAATAATTTCAGGACAAGCTAGCATGAAGCAAGAGATGGAGTTTATTAAAAGAGATTTAAAAAAATTTTTTTTAAATTTTCTGTGTATGAGTGTATCGCTTGCATATAGGTAAGTGCACCCGTGTTGTGCAACGCCCGTGAAGGTCAGAAGAGGCTGTTGGATCCCCTAGGACTGGAGTTACGGACAGTTGTTAGTTGCCATGTGGGTGCTGGGATTCAAACCCGGGTCTTCTGCAAGAACAACCAGTGTTCTTAACTGCTGAGCCATCTCTCCAGCCCCTAACAGAGATTTTTTAAACAGATTTAAATACTTACAAGGTTGGCTGATTAAATGCACACATATGGTTGGTTAATTGGTTTGTGATGCAAGGTATCAAATCTAGGGTTTGTGCATGCTAAACAAATGCTCTACCATTAAGCTGCACTTCCAGTCCCAAGTATTTTTAGCAACAATGGTTAATCAATCATTATGGGAGAAATATAATACAGTACATATCAGCTTCCACCAGAGCCAAGGCAAGTGTCATGGGAGCGCAGACCTAGGAACCTCCCAATCTTGTTCAAGGTCTAAGTCTACCTAGAAGAAATGATGTTTAAATTGAGAGAGAACAGGCTGGGACCCTGCCTAGCATGAGCATGGCCAAACACTGCAAAATAAATAAATATGGGGCTGTAGAGATGGCTCAGGGGTTAAGAGCACTGGCCCCTTTTGAAGAGGATCCAGGTTCGATTCCCAGCATCCACATGGTGGCTAACAACTGTCTGTAACTTCAGTTCCAGGGGCATCTGATGCCCTCTTCTGACCTCCTTGGGCATTTCATGACACGAGTGCACCTACCTACATGCAAGCAATACACCCATAAAATAAAACATAATAAATTAAACTTTTTTTTTTGGTCTTTTTGAGACAGGGTCTCCCTGTAGCCTGAGCTGTCCTGGAACTCACTATGTAGACCAGGCTGGCCTTGAACTCACAGAGATCCACCTGCCTCTGCCTCCCAAGTGCTGGGACTACAGGCGTGTGCCACCACTACCGGCAAAACATTTTTTAATTTTTATTTTTTGGTCTTTTTGAGACAGGGTTTCCCTGTAGCTCGCAGCTGGCCTGGATTTGCTTTGGAGACCAGGCTGGACTTGAACTCACAGAGATCCACCTGCCTCTGCCTCCCCAGTGTTGGGACTAAAGGTGTATGCCACCGCACTCGGCTAAATAAAATATATTTTAAAAATATTTTATTTATTATTTTTATGTGTACAAGTATATTGTCTGCATGTATGTGAGTGCACCATGTCATGCAATGCTGTGGAGGTCAGAAGAGGGCTTCAGAACTGGAGTTAAGGACAGTTTGTAGCCACCATGTGGGTGCTGGGAGTCAAACCTGGGTCTTCTGCAAGAGCAGTTAGTGCTCTTAACCGCTGAGCCAACCCTCCAACCCTAAATAAAATATTTTAATCAAATAAATAGGCAGCAGTTAAGTATGAATTGGCTAGAGCTAAGGTCAGTGTGTGGTGGTGGTGGTGGTGTGTGCATGTGTGTGTAGTGTTCCTGTCAGGTGGGACAGCTTATTCAACAGAAGACACAGGATATACTGAAGTATATTGAGTGTCAAGAGCCATGCTGGCTAATAGAGCTGAGAGTCTACTTACTGAATTTATTTACTGAATTTTGTCTTATAATTGACTCATCTGGATAGCTAGCCAACTGTGGAGGCACACACCTATAATCCCAACACTAGGGTGTCAAGAGGCAGGATGATTGCCACAGATGATCTGCATATGGAGTCCCAGGGCATCCAGAGCTAAATAGGGAAATCCTACCTCAAATAAAACAATAAACCAGGGGTTGGGGATTTAGCTCAGTGGTAGAGCACTTGCCTAACAAGCACAAGGCCCTGGGTTTGGACCCCAGCTTAAAAAAAAAAAAAACAACCCAAAATAAAATCTGAATAGCTGCTGTGGCTGCTGACTACCATATTGTACCATGCAGGTCTACAGTGTAGCATCGTGAAGGATAGGATTGTACTGAGAGGTGAAGGTGAAGTGGTAGTGAAGGGCATCTGGCTTGCACCAGGTTGTTGTATGGAGTTTGCATTTTATTCCAGTGTGTTATGGAAAGCCATTAAGAAGTGGGTTTAAGCAGTAGAGTGAAGTGATCTGACTTTTATTTTTTATGTTTTGTTTTAGTTTTTGTCTACTCATCAATGCTGGGGATCAAACCCAGGGCCTTGGGCCTGCCAGGCAAGGGCCTACTCTACCACTGAACCCTTGACCCTTGGTTTATATTTTTAGCAGACCCCGTAGTTGCTGTAAGATTGTAGTGTGAGTGTGGGTGGAGGAACAGTGACCGTTTGGAGGTGACTGAAATTTCTCAGAGGAGAAGAGTTTGGACCAAACAGACATTTTGGAGATAGAGCAGTGGCAGAATTTTTTTTTTTTTTTCCCCAGTGAGGAAGAGGAAGAGGAAGGAGTCAGCCGAAGGTTCTCCCCTGACAGAAGCTGTCTCCAAGCCCAAAGTTTGGACGAGGCCAGTAAATCCCAGCAGTTCCTGTTGGCTTCCTTGTCTCCACCTTCTGGCTGCTTGGAAGTGCAGGGAATGCACTTCCTTACCTAGGGAAACTAGAGCCCTGGGGGTCCCTGGGGTCCGGAAGCTGAGGGAACCTCTCCTTAGATGGAAATGTGGCTGGATGGGTGGAGCCCCCTTTCTGTGGGTCATCAGTGAGGCTGAACTCTCCCAGGGGCTCTCCATATCACCTTTCTCCCCCTCATTGATGGGGCAATCAGTTAGGAGCCACATGACCGCTGGAAGGCACATGTGGTAGGAGCTGGTCAGAGTGGATGTCAGTGCAGAGGGGCTAGAATCCCGCACCCCATGCCAGCTCCCCACCAAGGCAAGGTCCCAGCACCTTGGGCTGCCTCCGAAGGCCCCACTCCTACCTAGGGCCTTCGGGGCGAGCACTGGAGGTGGGAGGGAACCGATGTAGGAGCGAGGCGTGCCTCCCCAGAGCAGGGTGTGGCCAGTGGTTCAGATGGTCAGCCTGGTAGATTGTCCTTGACAGGCAGCGTTAAATCCCCATTGTCCACCCTGCGTTCCGAGCAAGCTGAGAGTTGCGAGCACCGAGAGGACAGAACCCGCTACCGAGCTTGGAGCTGGGTGGGGAGGTGCCCGCGGCTCCTCGCTGTCAGCCCCTCCCGGCTGCACTTCCTCTCTGCCTGCGCCGCGGGAGAGCCAGGGTAGTCTTGGGATCCCAGTGGCCTGCAACCGCCACACCTTAATCTGAGGGGTGAGTCGATGAGAAATTTCGGGGATGCCCTAGGGGGGTCGCGACTCCACGCCTGACAGCAAAGGATCCGGGTGGAGACGCTGAGTGGTTCTCCATGCTTCTCTAGCCTGGAGAAGGACTGCGTGGGCTCTGGCTCCCTGGCCCTCCAGGCCTGTTCCTCTGCTGCCAGGATGGGGGTCCCTGGAGGTGGGGTAAGGGCTGGACAGACTGTGGTTGCTGCTGGGGCTTGGAAGTGGTGGGAAGAGACACAAAGGGTCAGGATTTACTGGAGTTCATAAGCTACCCTGCATGGGAGGCGATGTCCACGCCCTAAGGTGGGTAGAAGGTGATGGGTCACAACTGTGAGTGGAGGAAGCCAGGCAGCTCCACTGCCCTCTGTGAAAAATGCCTCACCCAAGTCTCTGATGGCACTGGGAGCCTGCAATTGTTTGAGAGTGGGCCTAGGCCACACTGCCACTTCCTCTCCTAACCCTGTTCCTTTCTGTACCTTCCTCCCACCCACTACCGCTTCTTCCCACTCCCACTGTCTCCCCACCCTACTCTGACTCCCCTTTCTGTTTTTGCCCACTGGGGGTACAGGAGCACCCCCATGGTGGTTAGGTCCCACCCTGGCCACGTGATAGAGGCTGCAGTCGCAGTTTTCTTCTGAGGGTGAGACTGTGCTGTCAGCTGACCCCTTGACAGCCTGGAGCCTGAGGTGGGAAGCCAAGAAGCTTGTCAGCTCTGAAGGCTCTACAGAGGTGTCATTTGGTACCCTCAGACTGAAAACAGAAGCAGGCCCTGAGAACTGAAGAGCAACATCATGATATAAAGTGAGGTGGTTTTAGACAGGGCTGTTAGTAACTTGTAACCCCGAGAAGGTCCCTTCTTTTTTCTGAGCTTCTTTGGTTCTGGCAGTAAAAGGAGAGATTTGATAAACCAGTGTCTTCTCCATCAGTTTCCCTAGAGACCTCCCTTCTGTGGTGAGAGCTTGAGTAGCCTGTCCTGTGCCAAATGGACTCTTATCTGTCATGACTGATGGCCACTGGGCTTGATGTCATGTACAGAAAGAAAGCAAAAACATTCTTACCCCCAAACAGAGTCTGAGACCTCTCAAATACCAGGAATTCCCAGAGGGAAAGTTGAGGATAGTAATGACTTCTTGAGAGATAGTATCAAAGAAACAGCCCTGCCAGATTCCTGCCTCCCACATAAGGCCATCCTTGCACCACAGGCTTCCTTCTGTCCATCTTCTCCTTCAAGGCTCATTTTCCCTCTTACATGTAGGGCTAAACTCCTGCACTGTGAAACTGCTTCTCTCTCTCTCTCTCTCTCTCTCTCTCTCTCTCTCCTTCTCTCCTCTACTGCTGTCTCTCCCTTTCTATTTTATCTTTTATTTATTTATTTATTTATTTTTATTTAATTTTGAGACAGGTTCTCCCTGTAGCCCCAGCTAACCTACAACTCACTATGTAGATCAGGTTGACCTCCATTTCACAGAGACCCCCACCTGCCTCTGCCTCCTGAGTGCTGGGTTAAAGGTGTGTGCCACCATGCCCCATTTTCTTTTATTTGTTATCTATTTTGTGTGTGTGTGTGTGTACATGCTCTTGTGTGTGGAGCTCAGAGGTTGACACTGAGTGTCTACCTCTATCCTTCTCCACTTTATATTTTGAGATAGAATCTCTTACTGACCTTAGAGCTCACCAATTCAGCTAGACTGGCTGACCAGCAAAGCCCAGGGATCCTCTTGTCTCTACCTTCCCACCCTGGCATCACAGTGCCACAGTGCCTAGCTTTTTAAGGAGGTGCTGGGAATCCAAATTGAGGTCCTCCTAGTTATGTAGCAAGCACTTTCCTGACTGAGCTGTCTTCCCACCCCCTCCCCTTTTTGAGACAGGTTATCATGTATCCTAAACTGGTTTCTAACTCCCTCTGTAGCTGAGGATGACCTTGAATTTCTGATCTTTTTGCCATTACCTCCCAAGTACTGGGATTACAGGCACATTTATGCATTGCTGGTTATAGACCCAGAGCTCTGTGCATACTAAGCAAGCGCTCCATTTCTGAGCTTTATCCCTAGCCCCTGCTCTCAATTTCTTTCTTTTTTAAAATTTAAAAAAATTAGGCCAGGTATGGTGGCACACACCTTTAATCCCAGCACTTGGGAGGCAGAGGCAGGCAGGTTATCTGTGAGTTCAAGGCCAGCCTGGTCTACATAGTGAGTTCCAGGCCACCTGGGGCTACAGAGAGACCCTGTTTCAAAAAGACCAAAACAAATTTTTTTTAAATTTTATTTTTTTAGTTTATGTGTATGAGTGTATTGCCTACGTGTAGGTAGGTGCACCCGTGTCATGCTATGCCTTGTGGAGGTCAGAAGAGGCATTGAATTCCCCTGGAACTGGAGTCTTGGATGGTTGTTAGCTGTCATGTGAGTGCTGAGAACCCAGGTCCTCTGCAAGAGTGCAGTCAGGACTCTTAACTACTGTGTCATCTCTCCAGGCCCTGCTCTCAGTTTCTTAATATCTCCTTCTACAGGTCCCAGCCAGGCCTACTCCACAAGGGTATGAGGAAGAAGGAGCTCTGATATCTCCACATCCACAGAGGTTCCAGCTGTAATGAGCATTTTTCTCTCATAGGATGACCTCACCTTCCAGCACCCCGGCTTTCAGGCTAGAGACATCTGATGGAGACCCAGAAGACAGTGCTGAGGTACACGAAGGAAAGCATGGGCTACCCCCCATGGAGTCACCTTTTCAGGGCGAGGACCGGAATTTCTCCCCTCAGATCAAAGTGAACCTCAACTACCGAAAGAGAGCAGGTGTCGGGTAAGGCAGTAGATGGAGATGGGGTAAGAAAGGCTTTCCCAGTGACCCCATGTCAACACAGTGACAAATCCAGCACTCCTGTCTCTTCCTCATAGCAGCTATGACAGCTTCTAATCCCAACAGACTGCTCTCCAGAGTTGCTCCTCCCAGAATCTTCCTTATTCTTGGGCTTCTGCCAAAGTTATGCTTTAAAAAAAATTATATGTATGAGGGTTTTACCTACACGTCTGCAAGTGCACCACATGTGTGCAATGCTTTCAGAGGCCAGAAGAAGGCATCAGATCCCCTGGAACTGGAGTTATAGATGGTTGTTAGCCACCATATGAGCGCTGGGAACCAAACCTGGATCTTCTGTAAGAGCAGCCAGTGCTCTTAACCACTGAGCCATCTCTCTAGCCCCATGCCAAGGTTATGCTTTTGGTAAGGGCACACTCATTCATTATCAAGTATGCAACTGACTGTCAAATCCCCCTTGTTGATGCTTTGGCTCCCACCTATCATAGTCCCTGTGGTAGCTGGGAGAGGTAGCTGGGTCCACAATGCATCCAGGGAGAGAAATGTCCCCAGCCCTCTGCTTTGCTCCAAGGCTAAAATGGTCACTCAGGCAATGTGGACCCTAGGAGCTGAGGGCAGTGTGCTTCTGCTTATAGTCATCTGTGCTTTGAGTGTCCTGTGTTCTATCAACTCAGTGAGTCTAGGGGTCTTGCTTCCAGTCCTGCGGGGGGGGGGCTGAGGAGGCTGGCTTCTTTCCATCTTGTGTGAGAGTGGAAAATCCTCATGAGCCAACAAGACTGCCGGAAAGTGTGTTCTTCCCTGCTCATGCCTGAGATAAAGCCACCAGCCTTGGCCCTCTGTGGTTTATGCCAGAACTGCAGCTAAATTGAGTGGGAGCACAGAAAGGATGCAAAGAGGCTTCTATGAGCAGTGTAGCTGGCTTGACAAGAGACAGAATGGGCTCCGCCATGTCCTTTGGAGCCTCAATCTGTACCCTTTTTGGCTTCCCTACTCCAAGACTATGATGCTACCCTGGTGGCAGGAAACATTGTCCAAAAGACCACATTTCCCAGTCAGACAGCCTACAGGGCTGCAGCAGAGCCCCTTGTGGTTATATTGTGGCCATGTTTTCTGGGTAGATGATGCTTATCTGACCAGAGCAATGCGACACATACTTTCTGGTGTTGAGGATGCAAAGGCTGGCTCTGAACACATCATGGCTGTATGCTTCAAATGCGAATGATGCCACTGGTCAGAGTGTCAGAATCAACAGTCCTTATTGGGTTGGCTTATTTCACGGGAGATTTGCTTGTTTGTTTATTCTGAGACAGGATCTTACTGCACAGCCCAGACTGGCCTCTAACTTGAGGTGATCCTCCTACCGCAGCCTCCTGAGTAGTGGGATTACAGGCACGTGCTATGACGCCCAGCTTTCCACAGATGTTAAGCTGGGACCTGACAGTCCCTAAAACATGAAGTAGCCCCCTTTCTTCTTTATTTGCCCCCCACATCTCCTGTTCATGGTTTTTGGGACCCCCAAAGTTAAGCAGGTCACTGTGAATACTGACATAGTCCAGGTGAGGGTTGCTGAGACCTTTGTGGTCTCAATTTGGTATGTGCCAGGCCCATTATGGGCTAAGTACTCTGTTTATATTATTTTCTTGGCTCCTTACAATAACCCTTAAATATTCCATTCTTTTTAAAAATATTTATTTTATTTTATGTGTATCAGTGTTCTGCCTGCATGAATGTAAGTGCACCACATGTGTATCTGCTGTCTGAGAAGTACAGAAAAGGATGCTGAATCCCTCAGAACTGGAGTTACAGATAGTTGTGAACTGCCATGTGACTGCTGGGAACTGAACCCAGGTCTTCTGTAGGAGCAGAAAGTGCTTTTAACCACCAACCCATCTCTCTAGCCCAAGTATTCCCATTTTTCAAAGACGAAATAGGTTAAGAGAGGTTAAGTGACTTGTAAAGGAAATAGTCATCTCACCAGACAACTGTCCCCCTCAGTAGACAATACCAGATTGTGTCTCATGAACTATGAGGCCTCTTCTGGGAGAGATTTCCCAGAAGTGTGGCTTCTCAGTAAAACCATGCTCAACAGCTGATACTTAGTGCTGGGGCCACATGACATTCTATCTCTGGGAAACCTCTTGCTTGCCCAGCCCAGAATCTCTCTAGGAGTTTAGAGATAAGGCCTGGCATTAGAAAGCCCCCATGGCAGCCCCAGTTCTGCACTGTGTGGCTTTGAGTAAGTTACTTTGCCTCCTTGTTTGTCTAATGGAGGAAAGAGTGATTCATGACCTATATGCTGGTATTACTGATTAGAGGTGCAGAATTCTCTGTAATTAATAAATAGATGATTTCTGAGAGCAAGAAAGAGGTTTTCACCCCCCCCCTTTTTTTTTCTTGGTGCTGTGGATGAAAACCAGGGCCTTGTGCAGACCAGGCAAATACTTTACTGCCGAGCTGTGCCTCCAGCTTTGTCTGTATTCCCTCAAAGTCAGTGATGCTGCAGCTGTTGGTCTGCAGGTACCTCGTGCAATCCTGTCGAGACACATACAAAAGTTCAGGGGCCACTGTAAGGTCTGTAGATGGAAATAGATCCTACAGGATCATAAGTCTTTTGAAAGGTAGGGCAGGTGATAAGCTATAAATTACCTGGGATGATAGGGCCATGGCTTGCAGCAGATTAATATTCTGATGAATCTCTTCTTTTCACCTGGAGCTCTAAGTACTGGAGTCTCTTTGGTCAGCCCCCAGAAAAGAGAAACCTTCAACAGAATTCCTATGTAACACATGCTTACAGGACTACCTGACAGTGCTCCCATGGGTGAAAGCCTTTCTGCAGAGGGTTGTGACCTTTCTCCAATGAGTCACAAACCACATTCTCCGCAGCCAGCAGGACCCAAACCGCTTTGACCGTGACCGACTCTTCAGTGTGGTCTCTCGGGGTGTCCCTGAGGAGTTGGCTGGACTATCAGAATACCTGCGCCGGACCAGCAAGTACCTCACTGACTCAGAGTACACAGGTAGACCCTGCCCTATGGTGTTCTTTGTGCTCAAGAGCAGAGGGGTAGCTGTTCTTATCAGCCCTGCTGCAAACAGAGATGACAGAGCTGAGAACAGACCCCTGGACAGACCTGACTATGCCTACCACTTCTACCCACCCTTCTGGGCTCCTGAACTATTGCTGCCACCCCAGCCCATTTCAGTGGCTAAATGGATATTCAAGTCTCTGTCTGCTGTCTGTCCGTCTGTCTCTCTCTGTATATACATATATATATATAGTTGAAATACAATATATAATACACATACCATACACTTTGCCCATCTTAGAATAGTAAGTAAATGTATGAAATTAAGAGAAAAGCAGTCTATCATCCTAGGCCCCTGTTAATGGTTTTGGATCTTTTCTAAGACATTAGATATATATTTACATATTAAAAGTGTTACCATATACACTGATTTGTAATGCTACTCCCCTCTCTACTTACACATCCCTTTTTTGAGGCACAGTCTCCCTATAGCCCCAGCTGAAACTCACTATGTAGAACAGGCTGGCCTCCATCTTACAGAGATCTGCCTGCTTCTGCCTCTCAAGTGCTGGCTCCACTTACACATCTTTTAGAAAAAAGATTTACTTTATTTTAAATTATATGCATTTGTGTGGTGGAAGTGATATGTGCATGTGGATGCCGTGGAGGCCAGAGGCATTAGATTCCCTTAGAGCTAGAATTACAATGTTGTGAGCTCCCTGATGTGGTGCTGGGAATGGAACTCGGGTCCTGGTCCATGCTCTTAACCACTGAACCATCTCTCCATCCCCTCAGCTTATACATCTTGTACATCTTATTCATTTAGGTTTCTTTGAGATGGGAACCTTACTTTGTAGCTCAGGCTAGCCTTGAACTCATAGCCTTAGCTTTCTGTGAGGTATGTGCTGCCATACCTTGCTTCGTTTTATATGTATTGTATCATTTTTCACTTCAGTTCATATCTCGGTTCTTTTAACTACTACACAGCAAGTTTTCCATAGTGTAATGTGACCATAATTTAATTGACCAATTCCTCATCTATGACTGTTTAAATTGTAGTTTGGCGTCTCAACTTGCTATTTGCTTGGTCCTCTGTGTGTTAAGCACTTTATGTTATTCTTGTGGGTCCTTATAATTACACTGAAAGTTAAGAGAGGTCAAATGACTTGCTGAAGGAGATAGAGCCATTAAGCTAGAGAGCCAGTTCTAAATTCTGCCCTGGATTTACTTATTGATTGAGATTGACTCTCATGTAGCCCAGGCTGGCCTCAGCTACGTAGTTGATGACCTTGAATTTCTAATCTTGTTTCTACCTCCCAAGTGCTGAGATTACAGGCATGTACTACCATGACTGGTTTTATGTAGTGCTGGGATCAAATTCAGAGCTTTGTGCATGCTAAACAAGCACTCTACCAGCTGAGCTATGTCCTCAGCCCTGCCCTGGATATTTTTATACAGATAATGTTGAACATGTGTTGAATTGTGCCTCAGAAACTTCAAAATTCTAGTCATGCCTGTTGGTATTTTAATGCATGTTGCCTGGAGCCTTAATATCCTGCAGCGAAGTTATGTTCCCACCAGTCAAATGTAGCAGCAGTCTTTTTTTATCCTCCCATGGGGGTACTTGGGAGCCTGGGTTTGCTGTACAAACTGGCAGACAGCCCAGGAGCTCCAGGTCTGAGCATCACTTTGTGCTTTCCCTTCTCTCCTTTCCCAAAGAGGGCTCCACTGGGAAGACGTGCTTGATGAAGGCTGTGCTGAACTTTAAGGATGGAGTCAATGCCTGCATCCTGCCATTGCTGCAGATTGACCAGGACTCTGGCAATCCTCAGCCCCTTGTCAATGCCCAGTGCACAGATGAGTTCTACCGAGGCCATAGTGCCCTACATATTGCCATCGAGAAGAGGAGCCTACAGTGTGTGAAGCTCCTGGTGGAGAATGGGGCAAATGTTCACACCCGGGCCTGTGGCCGCTTCTTCCAGAAGCACCAAGGAACTTGTTTCTATTTTGGTGAGTGAACTTTTCTTAGGTAGGTTGAGGCACAGAGGGGGTAAAGCTTTGTTCAAGGTCACTTGGTTAGTGATTGTCAGAACTAGCATTTAAACGCAGTCCACTTGACCTCAAGGTCCTGCTTGTAACTGCCAGACTGATTACATACAACTTGTTTATAAAGAGATGCTTAATCCTCAGGCAAGGAGGCTCAGCATGTACCTAAGCCCAGGGTGGGGAGAGGATGTCAAGACTTAGCCAGGCAGACTTGGGGGGTAGCTCAGTGGTTGAGCATATGCTTAGCATGTGCAAGGCCCTGGGTTCAATTTTTATTATGTGTATGTATGTGCTGTATGTAATGCTTGTTCATGTGTCCACATGTACATATGTATACAGAGGTTGACTTTGGATGTTTTTGTCTCTTCACCTTATTTATTTATTTATTTATTTATTGGTCTTTTTGAGAGAGAGGGTCTCCCTGTAGCCCCAGCTGACCTGGAAGTCGCTATGTAGACCAGGCTGGCCTCGAACTCACAGAGATCCACTTG